GGAAGGAACGCCTTGGAAGGTGTGATCTCGCAAACCTATTCATGCAAAACACCCTAAGGTGAGTGGCCAAGAATATTTGTGAATCAAGGACATACTTTCCCAAAGGGGTCCTCTCCCTGGAACTGTACCACAAGGTAAGAGGGAGCACCTATTCTCACTTGTTTGCCAGTCTTCAAGGTGGCAACTCGCCTCATACTCCCAGGCCAGACCATTGTCTGATGAGAACAACCAATTCAAAGAGATTAACTAGAGGGCAAGGAACCTAAGAATTAAGTGACCCACATTTTGGGGGGGGGGTGTGTGTGTGTGTTGTTCCCCTAATTCTAAAACCGTCTGTTTCCACTGCTCCAGTAGTATAATTAGAACTCTGATTATAACATCAGATGGATAAACGAGTTGTTTATGTGTTTAAGACCCAGTATCTCTTGCCTTCAATAGTAGACGAGTTGTTCATGTGTTTAAGACCCAATATCCCTGCCCTCAGTAGTAGAATCTATTTAGTTACCCTTAGCAGTTCTCCCTTGCCATGGACAAAATGCTTCACATAGAGCCTTGGGGGAAAGCAAGATAGAAAAGGACGATTAGAATCAGAAACATCTCATCTCTGGCTATTTTACATGGCTTCCAGCCAATCTGTTGGTAGCCCAGTATCTTTTCTAAAAATTGGAATCTGGATTTAGATTCTGATAGGTTTCAAGAATCACATAATTTCAGAGTTGGAAGACATCCAGATATCTCACCAACTATCTTGATACTTATAAAATTTTAAAGACATTGATAGGCCCAGCAATTGCCTCTGCTCCGTGAAGAAAGCTCATGGAGTGCTGGCACTGAAAAAAAAAGCAAAAACAAACAAACAGCACCTAATGATGCAACACTTTAGAGCTCTCACAACTGTCTTCAGAGTATAAGGAATATAGAGTTTCAAGTGGCATAGAATTGGCCACTTGAAACAAGGGAAGATGCAAAACGTGTTGGCAGGAACTGGAGAAATGTTTTTAAAATTGATACAATGACAGCTTTGTCAGGCTCACTAAAAGAAGAAACTGATAAAGAATGCTTTTAAAACAACATCCAGCTTTACATTCAGTCTAAAAGACAGGTATTGAAATGTATCAAGCAAGGGGACAATGAAGAGACAGTGAGTTCATTTGCCTGACAGGATACTTTGCATTTTCACTCCTAGGAGTGAGCCACGAAAGCCTGACAAATGACTCTTAAAGAAAAACAAACGTAAAGGCGGCTTAGGAAATACTCCAACCTTGAGCTAGCCAATTTCTAAATCATGTTACAGAAGTTTCCGGAAGAATCGAGCATTCCAGAAAATACCATCATAAATCACACATTTCCCCCTTCTGGAATATGTGCAAAAACAAGCCTTTCTTCAACAGGAAAATGGTGTTGGTGTGGGACATCTACTCACGGCATCCAGGAAGCAGATCTAGCAGCCCTGAGGTGGAGAATCACCCTGCAGGAAGGCCGGGGCTCAGCTCCCCAGCATGGTGCCCCACCATCACGTGGCACCTCCCACAGTCCCTGGTCAGCGGCTGTGATCTGTCTTCTCCATTTTTGAAATGGAAGGTCCAAGGGGCCCAGTGAGAACTCACTGCCTGTTGTGAGAAGCCGATCTGAGAACTGTAAAGTTGCCCACAGTTTCAAGGCTTGTGCAAGTCTGTGATTCACTCCACTATGGGTCCATGAAGCACGCCTAAGAGAAATTACAGGTTTCTCCTGTCTGAAGCAAATCCATTAAAGTGAGTCATCTGTTTGTCTTTCAGTTCTCCATCCTTATCTCAGATGATCGCATGAGACTCTGCTTGCATCTGCTGCGCTGGGGTAATTGGAACGAGGGTGATAAAATGCAAGGTTATGCCACTACTCTTGATGATTTTTAAAGGCTGATACTTTTTTTGTCTTTTTGCGTGTTCTGATGTTGAACTTGGAGGAAATTGGCTGACAAACTGATGCATAAGTTGTGATCTAATTCCTAACCTAGCAACAGAGAGATTTCTGTTTTATTTTTGCAATGACCGGGACAAGGAGTTCTTACTGAGCCACTACATGGCTGTGGTAACTCAGACACAGAAGGCACTGTAGGGAACGCACACAATTTGACTTTAGACAGGGGAGTTGGTTTGCATTGTTCTGCTCACCACCAAACGGTCCCACACACTCCAGTTCTACTGTTGTCTACTCACAGGTTTCTTCCCCGCAGAGATCTAAAGCAAACCCTCATTTAGATATTTCCAGGGGAAATGTGAACAGTAAGGAGAGGTAAGTGAGGAGGCAGTTTTGTTATGGGTTTTATAGCAATGAAGGTCAAAGAGGTGCTGTTTATGGAAATGGGTCAGTTCCATTTAGGTCAGTAGTTAAGAAGAACTGGCTCATTTGGGAAGTGGAAAAGCCAATATCAAGCCATTGTGTAATCAAAGGACTTTTTATTGCACATATTTACCGAACATATTCTATGTACAAGACACCATGATCTGCACTATGGGCATACAAAAGTGAGTAACATACTGAGTAACAAAAGTGAATAACCCCATTCCCCAATACATAGACATATGCACACAAAAAGACCAAAAGGAAATAAACAATACAACACATTAAATACAAAAGTAAAGTGAAGGACACAGATTATTAAATTACAGGAAATCAGGTGGGGAGAATCAGCACTTCTGGTTGGACCAATCAGGGAAGACTTCTCGAAGAAGGCAGAAAGTGAGGGCGAGCTCAGGCACACATGCAGTGAGCACAGCTCTGTGATGTGTACTCTTTCCTGGCCAGGGAACTGTGTATTATGACCACAGTCATGAATGAAAAGATTTTTCAATGGTAAGCTCAACAAGTTTTGCTGACTGATACCCCTAATATCGAACAGACCAAATCAAATGCTTAACTCTTTAATTCGGAAGTCAATGAACTAGTTCCCATGAAGGTGTCTACAGCCAAACTTATGCATGGGGGCATGGCTGTGTGTTTGCTTGTGTTTGTGTGTGGGTGGGTGGGTTCATATATTCACAGGACTCTAATTTAAAAAAAACAAAAACTAACATTTGAATTTGAATGAGCAATTATTATGTGCCAAGTACTATACTACTTTAGCTACATTTATCCACTTAAAGTCTAAAGAATTGAAATGGCTTTCCCAAGAATCATTATGTATTAAGTCTGATACTTACAAATCTGCCTTGGACACTATCGGTACCAATTTCTCCTAGGGTCACCTGACCAAATCACTTTGTTGGTGAGGTGTCAGCAGGAAACTGAATGTGTCTCTACCCAGGGTCATCCAGAGTCAAACTAATCCATACAGTTCCTTGACATTTTTCAAGATGGTGTAGAGTGGGCTTTGGAATGCAGGAGAGAGGGCATAGCTTCTTCCAGGAATTCCCAAATAATTCCAGAGTTTTTCTCTCAGCATCCTGGGGGCTTTTTGGTTACTGATGAGGCTAAGGTGGGGTGTCTTTCCCACCATCCTGTCTCGGGGAGTGAGTATAGCTGAGTAGTGAGTACTTCCATAGTAGATGTGACTGCTCAAGGCACAAAGCAAACGCGAGGCAAATCCCTCCCTCTCTCCCTAGTGCTCAGAGCTGTTATCTGTGAAATGAGGTAATTGGAGTTAGTCTTTTATAAAATTTGTCCAGATTTACCATCCTATACCTATATTTGAAATTCCATTTTCACTTCAATATATGGACTCTGGGTAAGTGACATTTCTTTGTACCTAGGCCTGCACTGAGGAAAACCAGGACTATGTCTTTCTCACCCCTTCTCTTGAAAAGAATATACAAATATATTGGTAAATGGTAAATTAAAACCACTCTCTAACTTTATTTGTGAAGGATGCTTTTGTTGTCCCAAGATAAGCAATGCCATTTGAAAAATGACTCTTTCTCCAGGTTGATGCATTTTTTTAAACTTCAGATTGATGCTTTTTGTCTGCTCAAACTTTCCTACTTTAGGAAGATAATTTGTAATAAGAAAGAAAAGAAAAGAGAAAAGGAAAGAAAGAAGAAAGAAAGAAAAGAAAGAAAGAGAAAGAAAGAAGGAAGGAAGGAAGGAAGGAAGGAAGGAAAGAAAGAAAGAAAGAAAGAAAGAAAGAAAGAAAGAAAGAAAGAAAGAAAGAGAGAGAGAGAGAAAGAAAGAAAGAAAGAAAGAAAGAAAGAAAGAAAGAAAGAAAGAAAGAAAGAAAGAAAGAAAGAAAGAAAGAAAAAAAGAAAG